GGACGTGGGAGGGTGGGGGGTTCAAGACCTTTTGAGGCAGTTTGTTTCGTTAGATGGACTGTAGGTGCTCACTGTTACCAACGTGCATTTGTTCATTTGAAAGTCACAGTTTTAACAACAAACATGCCCTAAGTCATTGGACGGAATTCATGTTATCGACGTTGTTAATGACGTGAATTTTGACAACATTTTTTACTTGATGTTGAGTGGAAATGTATCCCTTCCTCGTCTTTTCAACAAACGAGAACGTCATACAATGTTAATAAGGAATACGTGACTAAAGGAGAGCAGAACGACGAACCTGTCCGTGGATGTTAACATCCTTTACAACACAATAATAAGTGTTTGCTGATTAAACTGCTAGTCACTGCAAATTTGAAGTTCCGCTTCACACGTTCATCTGACTGTTAGACCTAGCAGTTTCATCAGATGTGCGGTCCCAAACTCATGGGCCGGGGGCCACTTGTGGACCTTAAGTCTCGCACATCCAGCCCATGATCAGATGTTAACCCTTCAATTTAATTTAGCCTTTTAGATATTTTTTTATGTAAACACCTTTACTAAGGCTGAAATTGAAACACCAAACATTTCTAATTACGGGCACAATGTAAACACTGATGCACACACTCCAGTAGGTGGCAGTAATGTAGCTAAGTGTGTTTGACATCCTAAGAAGATGCACAGCACCGGTGATGTCAGTGCACAAGAAAGTTTGTTCAACAATAATAGAAGAGAAAACTGCAGTTTTTGTGGGGTAAAAATGAGGAAAGTTTAAGAGGAGTTATAGACTGAAGGTTTGACATGTCAGTTTAGAGGAAAACTGATGATAAAGCATGTCAAGTACTAGTTTCAATAAGTGGTTATTGAGTGCCATCTACCTCTGGATAATCGATTAAAAGCCTTACAAGTTAGACTTTTAGAAGGGCCGTCATTGAGTTGGTGACGTGTGGCTCTGTGGCAGCAGCAGATGTGGAAGTTACCGGTACAGGCCTTTGAAATGAGGCCTTTCTTCCTTCTTTTTCGTCCTGAACTGGAGAAATGTCAATCAGCTGTGGTGTGAAAACAGGGGAGAACAATCCTTTAAACTGCTGAAGGGAAATGACAGGTCAGTGAAAACCACTGCTGTCTCATCAATAAAGACTCTTCAGCATTGTTGTTTTACAGTTGGCAGGGGGTCGAGGACAGCCCTGAGGGGAGTGGCGCAGGGATTGTGTATATGTGTGTGTCTCAGAGATAGATAGATAGATAGAGAGATAGATAGAGAGATAGATAGAGAGATAGATAGAGAGAGAGATAGATAGAGAGAGAGATAGATAGATAGAGAGATAGATAGATAGAGAGAGAGATAGATAGAGAGAGAGATAGATAGATAGAGAGATAGATAGAGAGAGAGATAGATAGATAGATAGAGAGAGAGATAGATAGAGAGAGAGATAGATAGATAGATAGAGAGAGAGATAGATAGAGAGATAGATAGAGAGAGAGAGTGAGGGCAAGAGAGAGAGAGTCAGGATCCCAGTAGGAAACCTCTCCATCAAGATTTAGGACAGTAATTTGCCACCTCATTACTAACATTTATCCCCCAGGCAGTGACAGAGACCTTGGGGGGAAAGAGGGAGGGGGCGAGGGGGGGTGATGGTGATGGTGGGGGATTTCAGATATATCACAAAAATACAGATTTATAAAAAATAAATACAACTAGTAATGGTTTGGATTTAATAATGACCAGCATTATTTGGAGGCTAACGTTAGTTCTGGTGTCTGTACCAGGACTGTTGTAGCTAACGTTAGCTCTGGTGTCTGTACCAGTGCTACTGTTTTGTTTTTCACCCAACAAGTCAAGTGTCCATCACTGTTCCCCAAACTGTCATCTAGCATCTTCTTGCAGCTTCCCTGACAAGTGCATCATTATATCTTTGCCAATCAGGGATCAGTGAAACAGTTCATTTCTATTTTTGTTTTAATTTTATTATTTCCAAAACAAAACATTCAAAAGGAACTGGATCGCAGCCCAAAGACAAAGAACCAGGTTGTGTCAAAGACGTGGAAACACCACTGAAGAAGAGTTTGAACTGAAATGTCTGATGAATATTAAGCGAGATTATAAGCTGAGGTTTTGACACTTCCTTCGTCTGATTCCGTCACAGGAAGACGAGCCACGAGTTTCTGGGCTTCATGAATATTTTCCTCTCACTCAGTCACTCTTTTTTTATTCATTATCCCACAGTCTTAGTCCTAGTGTGTGGGTGAGAATGTGTGTGTGTATGAGAGAGAGAGAGAGAAGGGTGAGAGAGAGAGACAGGGAGGTAGGGGGGTAAACGACAAAAGAGAGAAAACCTTGCATCCAGTTACAGGTGGTAGCATCTCAATGGAGACAGAGAGGAAAGAGCTGCCTTTGAATGCCACATGAAAGAGCAGGGAGGGATGGGATATCTGGGGATACCTTCATTTCTCTGACGGCAGCCGTGCATATAAATGGGAAGCTATGTAAGGAATCTCCTCTCCTTCACTCTCTTTCTGTCTCTCTGTCTGCCTCTCTCTCTCTCTCTCCCTCTTTTACATGCCTTTGTGTTGTCTCTCTGTCTCAGTGAAGCGAGGACGGCTCCCCTTCTGCTGGGGTTTGATGTGCTCACTCTCCCATGCCACCGGGGTGTTGGGAGTCTTGTAGGACAGAGTGATGACACCAGCAGGGGCAGTACTGTGTGTGTTGGAGTGTGTGCTTGAAAGAAAGAGAGAGAGAGAGAGAGAGAGAGAGAGAGAGAGGTGTACCATTACCAATCTATTCATCATTTGTCAATGCCATCTGCTGATCAATTAGGGCAGAACAAGAGAACCTCTGACTCAATGCCACACCATGACGGGGCCACACAAACAACACAACACACGCACACACACACAGACTTATATGATGTGGGACATCATGGCTAGATCTATGGACGTTTTAGCTACAACACAGCTCAGACACGCTGCATCTAAAAATTAATTTCTTGTAGATTGTGACAGTAAACCATAATGAAAAGCTGACATCTTTAAAAAAAAGAAAAAGAATTATAATTAATCCAACAAAATTCAGCCCCAAATGTTCACAGAGCCTTACTTGTACCCTGGTAAAACCATTCTTTAATTATTTTTGTAACAGTTATTGACTTCAGAAGAGTACATTTCTACATATAACCTAGTGACCTACATGGTCAGAAGCAGGGGTCAGCAAGCTTTTCAAAACTGGAAGCTAGATAGCTACTGTTACAACTTGCTACTTGTTTGATACACAATTCCTGAATAATAATAATAATAATAATAGTGGTAGTATTAATAATAAAAGAAGGAAATCTTTCTAAGTATCAAGGTGCTAGTACTGCCCATTATTTGTGAGAATTATTACATGTAATACAAACTAGTGTCACGTTCTCAGATCAGTGAATTAATTACCCCTGACGTTGTAGAATGAGCAGAAACCCCGTCTCCCAGCTGTGTATCTCACAGCAGCCTCCCGACTTCTGCCCCTCTGCCCCAGCAGAACACTGCTCTAAATGTTGTTCAAACAACTTTAACATAATTTAAAGCACCTCAGTAACACAGACTTATCAACTTAGCCTCCTGCAGCCCCTGTGGTTTCCAACCAGGTGATCTAATCACCTCTGTGTTTGTTTAGGCCACTGCAGCTTTTAGGTTCTCTCACAAATGTTGCCCTAATCAGTGACGTTGAGTCAAAATGCATTGCTGTGATAAGGATGGATATGAATAATAAATAACACACACACATACAGAGTGCCATGAGTGTTTGAAAATGAATAACAGTAGTGATTATAGCAGAGTGATGTTTCAGATTCTTACAGTAAAGAAACTGAGGTAAATATATATTGATATATGTTTCTATATAAATTTCAAATACATTTTCTTACTCAAATTAAATGACTTAGTGACAGATTCAGCTCTGCCCATTGTTTTTTTCTCAAAAGAAATATATGTTGTTATGTGCTCTTTATGTACGCACAAAGCATCATCAAAGCCTCCAAACACGCACACACCACCACACACACACGCACGCACACATACACACCCATCTGCTGCAGCGCTCCACGCCCTCCTGTGGTTTGGCGTCAGGCCCGGCCCTCCAATTTCCTTACCGTGGGATCAACGGCAGGTGGAAGAGCTTTGAACCCTGCTGCAGGTGGAACAACTTTGAACCTTTATGCAGTGTCACCGACCGTCCACCGTATGTACACACACGCTGCAAAGTAAACACGCACATACACACTGTCGTCACAGCAGTAGCGTGCAGTCCTTTCACAAAATTCCTTCACTTGAACTGGTTCCCATTTTCAAATATTGTAGTATATGTATATTTATATATTTATATATATATACATTTATACATATATATGTATATATATATACATATATATGTATA